CATTCTTCTCGCGAATTTCAATTTGTTTTGTAATTGTTTGGCATTGTGCTATTCCGAGAAATGGTCATCACTTATGTTAATATAGCATATCGTTGGTTGCACATGAGCGATATTCTCGATAAAAATTTATTTGTAACACAATACGATTGAAATCGAATAAATGGCACACTATATATACATGCAATAGTTGATTGTTTATGTTACGAAAATTGACTTTTATAAGCAATTTAAGACCCGTATAGAAATAGCTGAAGAGAGTGACATGGTGGGATAGAATTGGAGTGGTATTGCGCATTGAATTTTGTCGGAAGTATGAGAATTAGTGACAATAATCATTCATTCTTCATGCTGAAACAGATTTAGTTTAAAAGGAGTAAAATGATTCGTCTCGAGCGATGAGACTACAATGGGGTTTGCATTTGTTCAAGAGGAGCGTTTCCGAAAAAAAAGTAAACATTTTGTGATCAATGGAGATTGTAAGTTGATGAGCATCGATAAGCGCGATTGATACGGTGGAGATCAGCGGCAGAGAACTGGTTGCCTTTACCCATCAGTTTCGTATAAAACTCAACGTTCGCTTCGATTGTATTCAAACCGTTTCGACTGCCTTCGTTCGACTCGTAATGCATTATCGAGAAATAATCATACTCTTCACCGTAGTATGACAGCCCTTCGGTTGGTAACTTATCGAAATCACTTTCAGCACCTCAAATTATTACACTGATCCATGAAAACAATTCTTTTTTTCTCACACCGTCGAGTGTATTTCTTTGACGAAAGTATCAAATTTTGTTCCGTATTGGTATCATCACAAGCATAACAGAGCAAGTTGTTATAACAGTCACGTTGTTTCTCTAATGCTATTATAATAAATAAAATACAGCCACTCTATAGTGATACAAATCAACAAAAAATAAAACACTACTTTAGCATACAACTTAAGAGTTAGATCTGCTTTCAACATAACTGTTACGTTTCCCATTCGTCAAAGATCATAGGCTATGACGCGGTAAAAAAATCTAAATTTTGGTCAGTGGTGATCGCAACTGATCATTGAGATCGATGAAAATTTCAGTTTGCGGTTTCATAAAAAGTCAAAATGTCCTGACATATACATATATTATTTCTTTGAAAATTATGAATTCATCGGTCCTCAATTCCTAATTTCAAGGATATATTGTGAAAACTTCTCCTAACGGACTTCTGAGCTGCTGAATCAATATGTATGACACTTTATCATGAATTATTGAATATGGTATCTGACATATCCGTGCGATACTGCGCTACTTTTGAAGCGACACTCACGAATCAATGTGTGCATACAAATTTTTTCATCCTATTACAATTCGTTGAAAATGAATAAATAACTAAGTAACAATAGTTTTTGTGGTTATTTCCATTGAACATTCACAAACATTCGAGCAGACCCATTCACCTGGTATAACATTTTGCCACATAATCTTCACGTAAGCATCGCGATCGGCACGTTGATGCTCGTGAATGAAACCGATGACGTGCATCAACTCGTGGATTATTGTCGAATACCGTATGCATTCATCAGCCAACGACACTTGCTGACGACCTCCGACACGAGCGAAATCTGCGTAGCATCTGGAACGTCTAAGGCAGAGTATTATTCAGCACGTCCGAATGTCAGTTTCTTTGCGTGTTCATTGATGGATTGGTGACGGGGGGAGGGGTGGGAGGGAATGATTGATAACGCACAGCGAGAACAGTGTTAAGGTCAGGTTCAGAACTACATATGTGCATACCCAATTGCCTGTTCATGAAAATCGATAGAACATCGGATTTCCCGATCCGATGAATTGTAAAATTTGTTTGAAAAGAATAGAAAAAGAGTACAAGAACTTGCCCGTCAAGTT